TTTTGTCTCTCTCTTTAAATGTTTTGTAACAGAAACTGTTTTGGGTAATTAATGCCGGAGTTGTTACAGAAAGTGTGAAAACGACGGTCGACCCATTCCTCCTACGCTCCTTTTTACGAGAATAACCAAATAACCAAAACAAAAGTGGAACTAAAACCTATAGTTTTTGTCTACTTTCAATATAATCTTACGACGATATGATTCGCCTTTGTCTCAACGATCTAAGGAGTTTAGGCCTTTAGCGTTGGAGATTCGCGGTCTTATGTACCTTTGCGTTTTTGCTGGTTTATTGTAATAACTACATTGAAATAACTGAATTTTGCGGTTTTATAGAGTTTGTGACGATATTTGTTTTTGGTTTATCGCTTTCAGTCTTGATTTCGAAGAATTGCTTCGCGCTCCTTAGCTACACCACTTATCGGGATCTCCTCATGAATTGATATACTCATATGTTGACATAAGGTTGTGACCAAATCTACTAGTTCTATTCAGGTTTTTAAATTTATTTTTGGCCTTAGAAACTTCTTAGCTATGTCAAACTTTGTAAACAACAATTGGTCCATTGCTTTTTGGGAAGAAGTTTTTTTTTTTTTTTATCAACGCTCTTTGGGAATAATTTCACCATATTATTTTTCAAAAAAAACAACAATAATTGCAAGGCTTCTGAATTGGATTAATAAATCATCTAAATGAAATATGAATAATTTGATGATTGATTTAATGGTGAAAGAAAAATTATAATCATAATGTCGAAGAACACTTGTGCTTTTTTTTTCTTTTTTTCTTTCTGAGAAACACTTCTTTTCATACTTCATATGGTGAAAAATGGTTCCTCGTCTTGACTAAATCCATATAATCTTTTCGATGGTCCTTTTTATGATCCCGACATGAAGCAGTTGCAGACTTGGAGTTAGGGTTGCTATATCAGTGGAAGATTTGAACTTTGCTAGGCAGGAATTTATTTAAAATTCCGATGGAAAGATATAGGAGATTCAGCCAATAACTTATATATCAAAAGGGAATATATATAAGAGTAAATATATAATTCATAGTGTGGGTGGATTTGATTCCCCACAATGTTTCAACCTTAAGTCTCAATCAAAGCAAAAACAATAAAAAAAGAATACTTCGTTTTAATAGGGCAAATTCTATATGCCTTTATCGCTTTGGTTTTCTGTTTATATAACAAAGATTGGAACCCTACGTTCCTACATAACTAGAAGCAAATACAATAATGGAAAAAGGCACGTTTCTACTTTCTCGAAACGTAATGAAATCCCAATTATTATGTAACTAATTAAAATGAAAGTAGAAAACGTTTTAGCGAAAAAACGTTTAGTCATGGAGACTTAGTCATGGCATATTAGTCATGGAGACTTAGGATTTGGTCTTACGAAGTACGAACTCTCTCTTATGTTCATATCATTTCTTGCGACATACGGACTCAACGATAAATTTTCCTCGTAAACTCTTCATTGTTGTCTCTCCATTCCTCTGCAGCTACCACATTCGGCAGCGACTCATGTTAAGATCCGTGAACATCGATATATAAACGGAGGGAATATCCTTTGTTTTGTATGAATAATAGTAATTAGATTAAACGGAGGCAGTAAAAAGAGTATATATAAACCATCAACAAGACTATAAAGTGAAACGTTTCGTCTTTCGGAAACTTATATTGGATCATGTAACACAATAAAAGTGTAGCAGAAACACTTATGTTCATACTCATGTGATAAAAAAATGTTTCCTAATAGTATGAGCAAATAATTTTTTTTTTTTTGATTTTGTCATCTGGTCTAATTGAAATATTATAAACATCTGTCGGTTTACACCGACTAGACCGCAATTTCCACGTACATCAAGCCGTTCGAGTTAGGGTCTTGTTTTCTCTTACCAAACTCTATCCATGGCCCCATGCTTCCTCTATTTTTGTTTTGTTTTGTTTAGGTGTACGAAAGAAAGAAGTAAATAACACAAAACCATTGAACCGAGATGGTAACATAATGTATGGGTTTTATTTGTGGAAGATTCAGTTTGAAAAAATTACTTCATTTATTTTCCAGTACGGGTGTCAAATTGAGTTACTTCGTTTCACTTATCTCAGCTCATGATAAGGTAGAGTATTTCACGGTTCAACTCGGCTTAGCTAATTTATTATCCGAGCTTATAAACATAACATCAAACTCATATCATCTAAATCGTGATCTAAATGAGGTAGTTCGCGAGCTAATACAAAA